ATAATAGAGTCTGGAAAAAATGGTTGGCAAGAATGAAAAACCAACCTGGTTTTCCAGTCATCATAAAAATATGATTAAACAACTAACTGTTCAATCTACACTCTAGACTGCTGAATGTACTCACAAACATGATTGTCCATTTTCAAACAGAATTGGAATACATATAACGGTAGAAAGCAATAGAAATTAGATGTAATATTGAAATAATGATCCTATCAATGTTGCTGAGGCCAACTCACTACATTCTAAACAATCTAGCCCCAAATTATGATCAAGTCATATGCGAGCAGGCTATACAATTATAGGGGTGCTACATTGTTTGTGTAAAAAATGTTACATATCCCTAGTTTTACTTGTGCTGAGAGTGTTACAGCCTTCAATTCACAAACTTAACTGAGGAAAATTTCACTAAGCAAAAACTTTAGATGTAAAAGAAATAGTTGGTACCATGAGAAAACCACACCACGATAATATAAACATAACTTATGTGATCAATCACAAAAGTTCATGTCTCAAAATTCAAAAAATTATCAGTAAAGTGAGACTTTGTGCATGAGTGTGTTTGTTGAATAGTGTAACATAAATTATTAACCCCAAGCTACAAAAAGAAAAAGAAAGAGTTTTTCTTGATTTTATTAACAGACTTCAGATAAATATGATAATAATCAAATTCTATCACATAAAATCAAGTATTAGAATGAAGCAAAATCAAAGGAATATGTATTACCCCCAAGCTTCGTACTAAAGATCTAGCCCCTTGAACCACAAACAACTAAATGTTTGATATAAAAGCTTCATAGATATGTATGGACACAGATCAACAAAATTAAGGTAAAGGCAAGGAAGGGGAGGAAAAAAAGACTGAAGATAAACTTCCAACTTGGGCTTGGTTACAAAGATCTAGTAATCATAAACAATAAGATATCTTCATAGTCATCACTCATTACAAGAATTTAAGAGAAGAAGGAAGAGAACTGAAATAAAACAAATGACCAACATCCCTCCATGAACATTCCTAAAGATCTTACCTTAAGCTGTAAACAATCAAGAAAATTTTTTCAGAAAGACTTCATAGGGTTGTGAGGGGGCAAAACTCAAGGATGCAAACAAGATCAACATACATTCTCCATTGTCAAACATAAAGCTTAGCTGATAAACATCCATTAATAGCATATCAACCCTCATTTTGTTTTCTTTCGTTTTGAGGAATCAGCACTAATTGAAAGAATGGTTTTTCTTGTGACATCTCAAAGAACTGCATTTGACTAAAATCAATTTGCACTGGTAAGTAACACCACGAAAATCAAAGACCTGTAGACTCAATCCAAATTAAACAAGCAACAAAAAGGGCAGATTTGAAAAAAATAATTTGACAAACAAAATCTGAATTTTGGACAGTACGTAAAACCAAGCCCTCAACGAGTCTCAACTCTTGAACAAAACAAAATTCCTAGGACATCATAAAACCAAATCCCAATTCAGAACAAACACAAAAGAAACATATTAAAAAGATTAAAACCCTCTGACTTGACACAAAAGAAGAGCAAAGAAAAGGGTCTATACCAAAGTGATGAAGACAGGCGGTAGTGAAGCCTGTCGCAAACAGACACAATTCTGTAACCACCCACAGATTCTTTTCATGTGTTTTTTTTTTTTTTGTCTTTCTTCTTCTTTTCTTTTCACTCAAACTTATCTATGACTTTTTGTGCAATGTGACAAATGCAAAACAAATGCTTTATATAGTCTCATACAAGAGTGAAGAGGTTTAAAGTGAGGGGGTATTTGCATGTTTTTGGAGATGTTTAAGCGAATTTTCCAATGAAGGATCATAATTATAAAGGAAAGACGAGACAACTATGGTAGTAAGCAGGTGTCTTTGTTGGCCTCTGACCAATTGGATACTCTGCATCTGACAGTCTTTCAACGGCTAAGCCTCGTGTCAGCCCTTTCTCTGTATATCTACAGTTTTTCTTTCTTTTTTTTTTCCCTTCTTTAATCTTTATTTATGTACGATCTCTCTCAATATTGCAATATTTTGCAAATGCAATAACTCTCTCTTTCTATCTCTGTGGATTTTTATGGTAACATAACTTGGCTCTTTCACCATAAGCCGCCGTTTCCTTTTTGGATAGTTTTTTCCTTCTTAATCCTCATTCTTCCTCTCTTCCTCGTTTTCTGTTTCACTCCTTTCTTGTGCCGTTGTGCCTATCTGCTGCCTTCAAACTTGCCTTAATGGACCACCTTTTTATATAGTACCTTCTTTTTTCTCATTTTATTAGTAATTTATTTTCATCTTTTTCACCGAAAAAATAACTTTGTACGGAAAAACATAATTGATTAATAAGGGGATGCGAAGAAGCATGTTGTTCACCTTTTCATAATGTATCTAATCACACCCTTTCTCTCTAGATTTCTAAAAGCTAATGATTAAGAATTTGTTAAGAAAGATCTTTTTATTTAGCAATCAGCATATATATATGTAAAAACATATTGGTTTATCAAAAAAATATAAACACATTACTGTTAAGTTTATCAAAATCTGTATGATCATTAATTATTCTGATATTTCAAGTGGTTTTATGCTTAATTATAAGCTATTTTGTTTCAATTTTTCCGGTGTTCATAACGAGGATATTATTTAATTTTTATGTTATTTCATAATTATTTTTAATTGATATATGTGTGTGTGTGATCAATAAAGAACTCATTTATCATTTATTATTGTTGAACAAAAGTTGATTTTGAACTGAAGAGCAAATCTTCCATCGTTTGCGTATTTAGTCTTCCAACAGTGTCATTTGGGTCAAATGCATGTATGGTTGGTTTAAAAGTTTTAATTTTGATATAATCAAGTCCTAAATTGAATTTTAACTTTTGAGGGAAAAAAATCTCTTGACCTTAAATACTACTACCACAATTTTGCTATCAAGTTTAGATTTCATTAGTTAAAATTGAAAAATGAATAGAGCAACCCTAACCAGAGGGAGGATGGAAGTAACCAATAAGAAAAAGGCCAACCGTTTGTATACTAACACATTTTCTTTTTGAAAAGTATTTTGTATACTAGTACATAATTGTAAAATGCTTGAGATCATTTTGTTCCTTTTAGTTTGGCCTGAAGAAGTGTATTACACATTAATTAAACTTTATTAGTACTGTTAGTTTCCCTTAATTCCTTTGAATTTGTCCTTTCAACCTGTGCAATGGTGGGATATATATATATATATATATATATATATATATGAGCAAATGTAATTAAAAGGACTATGGGGTCATGGCCTCCTCAAAATTTTTAAATTTTTTATTTATATATAATATTTTTAAATAATTTTTTATTTAATAATTAATATAAGTAATTATTTATTTATTATATATTTTTCTATTATTATTATTCATTTTTATTCAATTTGTTTATATGTTCATAGGTTTTATATACTTGTTTTAAAAAATTTCTACAAACCAGTAACCATGTTTTTCTTTTTTTTTTTGTTATGTAGATTCTATCTTTTATTTGTTATTTTTTTTCTGTTATGTGAATTTTAGTTTTTATAATTTTATTATTTAAAAATTAAAAAATTATAATATAATTTTCAAATATAAGTTATAATCTTACACTGTTGGCTGTAACTTAAAATTTTATCAATGAGTAATTTTTTTATTAATCTTGATTGATAAATTAATTCATCTCATTTAAACTATTTTGGTTTCTATATCAATTATAGTGAGAATCTTTTCAACAAAGAAAATTATGAAAATAAGACTTTAGAACAAGATAAATAATGAGATTCTTGTAGATAGTTTAATTATTTATATTGAAAAGGAAATTATTAGCTTTTTTTATCATAGAGTTAATAATTGATTATTTAGAATTAAATAAATACCGTCAAATATAACTTTTTTTAAAATATTATTATAAGTTTTTTTATTTTTTTTTATTTTTTTATTATATAAAATTATTATGAATTATGAATCTTTTGATTTTTTTTTATAAAATTCAAAATATTAATTTTAAAATTTTTTAACCCTTATTTCTTTTTATTTTTGACTCTTAACAAAACTCTCTCTTCACCGTCACCCTTCTAAGAGAAGACAGTGGGAAAACAACACATAGCTTCTAAGAGAAGGCAGTGGGAAAACAAACAAAAGAAAACGAGAAAATTATGATACATAATGAAACTGTAGAAAACGGCTGTAATTAATAACAGTATTATTGTTACATGACAAAGAAGAATCGACTGATTAAAGCTTATGGGAAAATTGTCAAACTAATGAACATGGACAAATAGTTTTAGTTCAATTTACATGTAGCGCATGCCCTATTCAAACCTCCGAATTCTCATCTGATTTTGCCTTTTCGATGGTTCTTCGGGGAACCATCCATCCTTTTGTATTATTATACTAGAAAGCGTTGAATTGCTAGGTGTGGGGTTTTCAGAACCGACAAATTTATGTAGCTTGGTGTGCTTAGACTTGGGGGTCAGAAATTTGGGACTCGAAGGAAACTATCTAGGAAGCAACCTAAACAACCAACAAAGTGGTAGCAAGGGATAACGCAAAAGGCTTGGATTAAGTTAATGGTCAGGGTAGGTATGACCTAAGCTTCTCTTTATTATTTGATTATTCTATTGCAGAAACTAATTGATAAATGAAGATCAATGTAGAAGATGATTTTACCTCTACTTTCTGTTTCTCTTGTTGCTAATCGGAATTATACTGCAAGTAAAGTTTTCATGTAAGAATGTTACTACTACAAAAGACTTGTAGTATAAATTATTTATTATTGTTTAATTAACAAAGACAGATTCCCGAGAGAAATCCGGGTTTGGGGGGGGCGGCAATATATAAAAATAGTCAAGAAGGTTGGGAGTTGGTTAGTGGGTCCCAGGAGCACGGTGGCTCCAACCTTCCCGATGGCTCTTATCAGGCTACATGGTTCACCAACTCCCTACCGTGTAATTTTGTTGGACTGTCCTAGTTTTCTTCTATAAATAAAGGTTCTCATTGAGCTCCAAAGCAGCAGCAAAACTGCAGCAATAACACAAAGAAAACTAGAGAGATTATCAAGATAATGGCTCCCACTCATGAAGGACAGCAAAGCCAAGCTGGCAGGCACCAGGAAGTTGGCCACAAGAGTCTATTGCAGAGTGATAATCTTTACCAAGTAATTATCTCTATTTTGACAAATGCGAAGAATGTGTTTGTGTTTTCCCAGCGTTTTAATTTGTGTTTCTTTCTATTTTTGGCAGTATATACTTGAAACCAGTGTTTATCCGAGAGAGCCTGAACCCATGAAGGAGCTCCGGGAGCTGACAGCAAAACATCCATGGTGAGATTTTTAGGCCTGAAATCTTGTTCGCTTTATCTCTATGGCTTGGATATTAATGATGAAATGGAATTTAGTCAAATTGAAAATTTTTTCCCCTGATAAAACAGGAATATCATGACTACATCAGCTGATGAAGGACAATTCTTAAACATGTTGCTCAAGCTTATCAATGCCAAGAACACCATGGAAATTGGTGTTTATACTGGCTATTCTCTGCTTGCTACTGCCCTTGCTCTGCCAGATGATGGCAAGGTAACTAAAACATAGTTATGCATCAAATGAATCAAAAACAAATTCAATGCATCTCAGCCAACTAACTATTAGTCCTTAAAAGAGATTTTATTTGCCTTGGCTTCTCTTTTCTTGTGGTTTTCTAGAATATAATAATAAACAAAGAGGAAACAATTCCTGCTTAATTCAATGTTTCAGATATTGGCTATGGACATCAACCGCGAAAATTATGAACTGGGTCTACCAGTCATCCAAAAAGCTGGGGTTGCTCACAAGATTGACTTCAAAGAAGGCCCTGCTCTTCCTGTCCTTGATCAAATGATTGACGCTGTAAGTACAAAATCCTCCAAGAATGCATCCTCAAACATAACTAAATTTGATTAGTTAACATAGACGTTAACATTTTTAATGTATAAATTGCAGGGAAAATATCATGGAACGTTTGATTTCATCTTTGTTGATGCTGACAAGGACAACTACCTTAATTACCACAAGAGGCTTATTGAGCTAGTGAAGGTTGGGGGAATCATTGGCTACGACAACACCCTATGGAACGGGTCTGTGGTGGCACCTCCTGATGCACCGTTAAGGAAGTATGTGCTGTATTATAGGGATTTCGTCTTGGAGCTCAACAGAGCCCTGGCTGCTGATCCAAGGATTGAGATCTGCCAACTTCCTGTTGGCGATGGGATTACTCTGTGTCGCCGCATTAGTTGATCAATCTAAGCGGGCTTAAGCAATTGCTAGCACGACAAGGGTGTGGCTAACCAAATTTACTTGTCTTCAGTTAATATCTTGTTGTATATTGCTGCTATTTTGATGTTTTTATGCATTCTCTGCAATAATTTCCAGAGACCAAAATGTTAAATGTTATAAAACATAAGAAGACTATTTTGCAAAGCAGTTTGCACAAGGATCGTTTTCTCATCTGTGCATGGCCGGAGGAATCATTTTCCCAAGAGACTGGACAAAAGGGCAGAAATCCCTTGGCATTCAATGACTGAATTTTCATACATTTCATTTTTGTTAAGATCCCCAAAGTATAACATAAACTATAGAAAATCACCAACCCGGTGGTTGTCATGAAGCCATCAAGCAATATATCTTATCATCAAGATATTGCTTGGCATAAGAAGGGATCGTGTCATGAAATGTTTAACCAATATCACTTTCAATATAAAACCTAACTTTGATAGGTACAGTTTCCTACACCAGATGGAATCACTATAGTTTAAGCAATAGACAATGACAAATTTTTGTTGATATCGGAAAATAGAGACTGAACCAATTAACCTGTAAGGAACTCTTAACTATTTCCGAAGTCAACCAAGAACTAAATGCCAGGGCCGGCAGGAAAAGCATACTTTCACAACAAGATATCAGTAATCCCCTAAACATTGTCATCTGTGGAGATTTTGTTAACCAAGAGATGTTATGAAGCAAAGGTGGTAAGTCTTTTACAATTGAGGCTAAAATAATCCTTCCACGTCCCCCACACCAACTGTTCTTTCTGGCCTCCAATTCTGGTTGGCTATTGTCTTCAGGACTTTATCTTTGGGAGAAGATCTGTTTTAATTCAGCCGGTATTGCTTAAAATTTTGCAGAATGTCTCTGCCTTATCTATCTCTTAAATGCTAACTCATTCAACAATTTATGACATGAACTTCTGTTTGGAAAATGAAATTAGAATATTTTCTTGAGCACACCAGTTCATACCTAGGGGCGTCCAAGGGCTAGCTGAACCTTACTTTTAAGTATGCCATTTGCTCATTTATGAAACAAAATTTTAGAAGGCACTTGCATATGTGCATCCGCTCTTAGAGGCTAAAGGGTGGCATGAAAATGAAATTATTATTATTTCATGACAAAAAGGATAAATCGGTCGCCAAAATTGGATAAATGGATTTTTTTTTATTTTATAATTGAGGGAGGGGAAATTCGAATCCTTATTTTTAGATAGGGGATAATGTACCAACCAATGAGCTAAATGCTCGGGTGCAAAATTGGATAAATGGATAATGTTATTGAACTTACAAAAAATTTTAGTTCAAGTTGCAGGAATGTATATACCCCTTTGCCTAAGCCAAAGATTTCCAATCAATTTATGAAATATAAAACTAAACATGGATATTTCTTGGGAAGGTTTTTTGAAACTGTCATGTTATAGCATATAGTAGATAATGTCACTCAGCACGGGTGAGTCATTTTTTGCAACTTAAAATACTGAAATGATGGCAAGTGCGTTAGGATATGACTCAAACAAAGATCTTACTATTTTGAATATTAGAGTTAAATTAGAAAAAAACCTTTCTTTTTTTGAAAGACAATTAGAAAAAGAACTTGAACTTTAAATCCCCATTTTAGGAGGTAAGGCATTGAGATATGGTTTCAAGACAACGGCCTTTGAGTTTAATTACTCCCTTCTGTTTGACCTGATCAGTTACTTCCTTGATCTATGCCACCTATGTAAAGTGCAAAAGGAATTGTACTTAGTCAGATACCAACAATTGCAATGAGTTATCCAAAGGTTGGATGAGTGGACATTGCATAGTCAACGGGGTGGAATGCTTGGCAGCATTGGCATAGCCCTCGAGAGTTGTCAAAGAGTTTTTTACAGAGCAGCGGCAAGACTATAGAGAGATGATCTTTACCAAAACCGGTAGAGACCAGGAAACCAGCCAAAAGAGTCTCTTATAGAGCGATAATATTTTACCAGATACTTTACCTTTTCAGTGAAAAAATTGAAGAATGTGAACTTGTAATTTATTTTCTTCTTACATTAAATCTCTGTGGTATTTCTATGTTTTACACTTGTCTTGGCTGATTTCTATTTCTGAAAGTACATTCTTGAAACTAGAGAATACAAGAGAGCCTGATATTTATGAGCGAGCTTCGCCTGCTGATAAATATCCATTGTCAGAAATTTGTTTACTCTCTTTCTTTGGTTTAGACATGGTGGAATTAAATTTGTTTTGTGCTGATAAAACAGGAATGTTGCACCTACAATCGGCTAATGAAGGGAGGAACGTGCTAGTCAGGCTTATGAATGCCCAGAACACCAGGGAAATGGGTGTTTGCACTGGCTATTCCCTTCTTGGTCCTTGCTAAAACCTTGTTCTCCCAGTTGACTAGGAGACTAGCAAAACCTTATGGCTGGAAAGCATTAAGGAATTGCAGCTTCGGAGCTCTGTTGACAATTTCATTTTGCAGTAAAAAGCCCAACATGGGTACACCCAAACTACACAAAGTCAACCTTACGGTTTCCCTGGAGTCATCGAAAGAGATTGCATGACGGAAATGATTTCTGACCGGAATTTTTCACCAGTAAGACCTCCAATATAAATCCGACTGCATATGCAAGAATTACCCTTAAGCAAGCAAACTATGCATTTAATAAACTTATAGGCAACTCTAATTAATCACTGCCAAAGTCAGCCAAGCCCTCTCGCCCTCTTCTCAACATCCAGGTTCCCTGAACCCCTAAATATATATATTAAGCCTTGCCATCATATATGTGACAAAAAATTTTCAATCTCATACCAAATCAAATGTAGATTACAGACTATAATTCAGTTTTAAAAGCTACATTGTTCGTATCTGATGAAATACAGTGAAAATAGAAAAAAAAACTCTCTAAATATATTTTTAATCTTATACGCCATATTTTTTTTTTTTTAAAGACAGATATATTAGTATCAATTTTAGTGTGTCATCCATAGTCTCAAATCTTTTGGTTTAAGACTATTGTTGGCATCAACCATACCTGATGAGCTTCAGAAGAACTAGAACATTTACACTTCAATTTGCTCGAAAGACTTTGGTAGAGGCATATCCTGTCCTGGTTTGGCCAAGAGACTCTTCAAAAAGAAAGAAACTAGCCTATCCTCTTAAAGATAACCATAATGTGATCAAGAATACACACAAGGCAGATTCAGGATTTATAAATCACAAAATTACACATCCAGCAATCTCTCAAAACAAAACTCTCTCCCCATCTTTTAGAAGACCACCAATAACAAACGCAGCTCCACCACTTAAATGCTCGTACTTAATACTGTTGTTTTGAAGCCAACATCATGAATTCAATTTCATAATTTATGATTAATTCAGTTTCAAATCTACCCCTTCTCTAGATTACATGTACAGGCTAGGATATTTGCTTGTATTAATCCTTGATTTCTTTTGCTCCCAAGGTATAACCTCTAATGCCGATGTAGAAATCTAGTAGTAGCAGCCTGAACAAAGGAAACTAACGCTTGGATAAGAGAACCAGTGAACTACGTACTAGCGTAAATTTTTGTTCTTGGGCTTTTACGAGCTGGGCTTAGTATTGATAAGCTATAGTGAAAACAATGAAAGAAAGAATAGAATGTGGGCTTCTATGGGCTGGGCTTATGACTGATTGTCATTTCCCATTGGATGTGCCATTTGAGTTTGAAAGTTGTATGCAATAAAATTGACTACTCAACGTGTTCTTACTTTGAGGCTCTAATTCTAAATCTACTGTGTTGAAATAATAATTTCAATATAGAACATGATTTATTTTTGTATAAAAAAATAATAAAAATTTCACTTGAGAAATTTCTCTTAAATTTTATATTTATTTGAGAATTGAAACAAAAAAAAATAAAATGATATTGTGTCATATAAATTCACTATAACAACCCTTCATCAATTTGGTATTTCATTTCATTTCATGTTCACTTTATTTAGAAAGAAAACGACAACATTGAAAGAGGAAATTAAAGGATGATGATGAAGCCCAGTGATCCAAAACAGAAACAAGGCAGCAATGAGATGGCATATTTCCATATTTGCCATTCCAGATATTAAAACCTAAAAATAAAGAGAAGAAACTATAAACGCCTAAATAAAATCCTTTAAAAAAAAGAAAAAGAAAAAACCGACCAGACAGACTAGAATAGAGGATAAAAACGGAAGAAGTTGTTTTGTCCTAAACCTTTATAAAGTAAAAGAAGTTGAATCCAAAGCCAAAGATTCTGAACTGAATTTAATAAAATATTACTACCCCATTACTTTGATTCATGAAAGGATGACAAAACAGTGACCACATCTTCCTTTGCTTGTATAAAAGTAACGTAACTTTCAACGACCTTTGCTCAGTTTCTATCTTACGTGCCTACGAAACTCCAAACCTCTCAAAAAGCTCTCTGTTTTTCTTTCCTCTCTCTGTGTCTTTGGAAGGACTATGGAGGAAGAGGCAGAGATTGATCGGTTACCTATAGACCTGTTGGCTCATATATTGGTGATGATCACTTCTTTCACGGATTTAGCCCAGTAAGTTTTTCTCCTTTTTCTTTGTTAATTGGGTTTTTCTGTTTCTTTCTTTTCGCTGTTTATTATGTGTTCATCAGCTTGAAATTTAGTGGTATTTGTTATGTGGATGGATGGATGGATATGTATGTAGGGCAAGTGGGGTTTGTAGGAAATGGAAACAAGGGGTGAAACAGGCCCTGGCTAGAAGAAAGACTCTGAGTTTTGCTGGTTGTAAGATGGATGACGACTCCACTGCTCGTCTCGTGCGTCATGCCTATAGCCTCAAAGAACTCGACATGTAATCGTTTCTACTCTCTCTCTTTCTCTCTCTTTCTTGTTGTTGCTTGTTGATGATTGTTTTTTGTTTGAATTTCACCATGAACCAAGTTTTATATTGGGGAAAATTTTGAACCTGAACGAGTCTTCTTCTGTTTCTGAGTTAGCTTAAAATATGGAAGAGAATTGTGTTTGTTGAAAGTATTGAACTATGGCTATGTTGCTATGTTGTCCATGAACCTGAAAATTCATTGTTTCGACTAGCAAGAACTTGTTGTGAAATCATTGGCATGTTTTCTCTTGGAAGTTTCCCAATTAGCATATGGCAAATTCCTTGGCAATGGTGC